AGAACAGTTGACAGAAAGTACAGGTAGTCCTCAACTTACAACCATTTGTTTAGAGACATTTAAAGTTACAACTGAAAAGTTACACTGAAAAAAGTGACTTATAACCTTTTTTTCATAATTATGACCATGGTCACATGACCAAAATTCAGATGTTTGACAACTGGTTCATATTTATGACGGTTGCAATGTTCCTGGGTCACATGATCACCTTTTGCGATCTTCTGAAAAGCAAAGTTAATGGCAGAACCCTGATTCACTTAAACACCATGTTACTAACTGAACAATTGTGACAAGAAAGATCATAAAATGGGACAAAACTCACTTAACTGTTTCACTTAGCAACATAAATTTTGGGCTCAATTATGGTCGTAAATTGAGGACTGCAAATGACAATTATCAAGACATGTAAGGCTTTATTTCATTGGAAGTGATAATTGTACAAATAAAATACAAACTTTATATGATATACTTTGTTCTGGAGACAGAAGTAGTTAACGTCTATTAATATTTATGATTATCTCTTGATAATTTATTTTTTTAAAGAACTAGTTATATTCACGAAAGAAAAAGATACTTTTCATTCTCTCAGAAAAAATTCTTCAGAGTTCCTTATTCTTTCTCCACTTGGACCCACTGTCTTAATATTATCTGATGCTTCTTTATTCTTTACTAAAATTCATGAAAGATTCTCAGTATCCCTACTCTGGTTCAACTGATCCGTTGTAGGGGCAGATTTCATTCCTACTGAAATCTGCTTAGTGGGAGGCCAAGCCCATGCAAATAGATTCTCCATGGGGCTAATGTCAGAGGATAAATTGGATTGTTTCCAAGACAAAGGATCTTCCAAGGAAAAGATAGCCTTTGTTACCAGTAGTTGTGAGCACAAAGCAATGTGTGGGATGATTTACTACATTATCAAGGATGCTTTTAGTGTGGAGGAATTCATTTCCTTAACAAATCCCATCAGACACATCTATAAATGTGCTTTCCAGAAGAGTGATGAAACTTTTCATTAGGTGGTGCTGTTAATTTGTTTGTTTTTTATTGGGCAAACGTACGATATTTTGCCTTTGTAAATGGGATTCAATGTACTGTGTTATTATTCTGATTGAAGAGTAATCCTTATTGTAATTACTTTATACAGGCACAATATAATCCAAAATCATGAAATAACCAAAGCTAAATGTAGGATAGAATTTTTCAACAAATGGCTGTTTTCTCAATCATCTCATATCAAAGTAGTTCATTAGAACTCATATTTATTGCAACTCGTAAAATTGGCCAAAGATTATATAGATATAAAGATAATGCAGCTTTAAGTAGAGAGCGCTGCCTTCGGAAAGAAGGAATAGAAGTAGGGAAGTAGGAAATGTTTGTTGGAGAAGCTGGGTTCGAAAAGAAGACAGGAAGAGATAAAAGGTCAATGCAAGGAACTGGGAGAGGAGATGGACGAAGGAATGCTTGCTGGGGCAGGCTGAGGCTTCCTGGGACATGACAAGCAGGCTTAAGAGCCATGTGGTTCTGGGACTGCGAAGCAGGGTGCAGGGCAGCCAAAAGAGCATAGATTGGGGGAGAGAGTTGAAGCCCCCCTGTAGTTGTAAATGCAGGCAAGCTGCCAAGTGCCAAAATTTGTTCACATGACCACAAGATGCTACATCAGCCATAACTAAGTCCATTTTTTCAGCATCATCGTAAGGTTGAACAGTCACTGAACAAATGGTTGTAAGCCAAGAACTACCAGTATTTTCTTACCATTTCAATTACATTTTCTTAATAGGGGAATTGGAGAAATTGTTCAAATTCTAAAACTGCAGAGTTGCGTATTTGTTTAATAAAAAATATTTCATGAAGAAGTTGCATATTTGTTTCATGATGATATTTCTCTCCTTAGGGCTTTTATATTACTTTTTCTGATGAATATTCAAAGCTGCTGAAAGGAAAATTGACCTCCTATTGACTGAAATGGGGATGTTCCGGCCTCTGGTTATTGAATTACGAGAATATTTAAATATGAATCGGTGAGTATTATTTCTTGTTTTAAATTACGTTTCTGTCTTGCCTATACTTTTTCTCCTTGAAAAAGCATATGCCACATTTCATCCTCAAGAAGACAGAATTCATGTCTTATCACTAAACACAGGAAAGTACTTTAACAGTACTCATGAAACTAATAAATCATTACCGTACATGAAGCTTCTTTTGTTGCAATTACTTGCATTTCATTCCCATTATTAATATACTGCATAAATTGTTACATGCTGCTCATTAATATGTCCCACGTTTTTTGGAATGTTACTGACAAGTCATGTACCATCTTTTGTAGGATTTCACTTAACATTTGATTAAAAAATACCAAAACATAAAAATTGTATGTAACTCAGCTTTCATTGCCACTTTATGCTGTTAGAGATTGTATTTCAACAATCACAGCAATACTAATTAACTCTCCAGAAATTCAACCCTGCTTTCAATAACAGCAGACTCAGGTTGGAGTTTTAGCCCTTTTCTTCCTACCTTTTAAAATAAATAGACTTGTGTCAATCTTTTTTAAGTCTTGTAAGTTAGAGACACTTGTTCCATATTTTTATAACAATTATTTCAGGCCTGATAATAATTGATTCCCATCTTGCCAATTTCAGTTCTTGTAATAGACCTATGTAGAATAAATACTTCAAATGTTTTCCATTAATATTATAATGAAGAAGACAAACTTATTGTTTAACAATTAGTCTGAGAAAGATATTAGGCATCTTAAAAGGCTAATATAAATAATCATAGATTCAAAATAGATACAGTATATTGTGCATTTATAGTATACTAATTCTATATTTTATAGTGTACTAATTCTATATTTCCCTTTATTTCAACTGTTTGATATACATTTTTTTGCATATGTTATTATTACTCCACAGCTTTAATTTTATTTATAAATGCAGTTCCTCTTTAAAGTGTTCAGAATTGTAGATAAATATTTAAATACTATTTAGTGTTTTAGTATAATTTATTACTTTGGCACAGCTGTCTATATTTGCTTCCATCCTAAAAATACAACTATCTTTCTTTTGAATCATTTAATGCCATTCTTCAATGTAACTAGAGTATTTTAGAATAATCTGCACATTTTACTGCTGTTTTCTATCATAACAAGAATAGAAGTAAACAGTCTGTTAAAAACACCCACAACAATTTGTACTTAAAAAGCATTTTGTATGAAAAGACATCAATAATTGAAATCCTTTAATGCAGGCATGTCAAACCCGCGACGTCACACAACATATTGCGACTTTCTCCCCATTGCTGGCAATGGGGTGGGTGCAGTTTCGGCATGACGCATCCGGCCCATGGGCTGGCAGTTTGACATGCCTGCTTTAATGAAATAATTTTACCAATACAACATCACTTTATTTACTTAGAATGTTTTCTCTCCAGACATTATTTGCTTAATTTCTGGTATTATTTTTTTGTTTGTATTCACCTGCTTGAATTAAAGTGCCTTTGATTGTTGGGCCACATGCTTAGATTTCCGTGCCAAATTTTCTAGTGGAACAATTCCCAGCAGTTTTGATTATAGATATACGTTTCATGAAATGATCTTGTAATACTGATAACTTCCTAAAAAGAGAGCAAAAACATATATTGTAGCCTAGAATCCCACTTTTCATACATAACATGAAAATGCTTTTTTAATTATTAAAATAGAATTCTGAGTTTCTGAACATTGTATTTTTACAAAATAAAATTCTTAAATATTTAAGGATCTCTTTCTGCAAACCTGCACACAGATAACAGCACTTGTTGTCGACTTAGCTGTTCTTCTCTCATGATATGCATTCAATTTATATCACCAACACTGACTGGAATTGGCTTTGGAGAAAGGAGGGGAACACTGCAAAACAGTATCTCTTATTCTCAACCCCTAAAGCTGGTCCAGAAGGATACCACGCCAATAGTATGGAAAGCTGTTGAGAGATTTAGGACGTACCATCTTATTTCAAGCATTTCAAATATCAACTTCAAATATGATGAGTACTGTCCCACTATTATATCTTATCCTGATCCGGATCCAGATAATATACTTTTTTTCAGGGCCATCTAAAGCTGTGTACTACTTTCTCAAAATTTCCCTAAAAATGAAAGGTTGGAGATTGGATGAAAATTATCCATTAATATATCATCTTTTTTCTAACTCCTTGCTCAGTGTTGAACAGTTTGCTAAACATTCCATTAATTCCCATGGATGTTTTAGTCCCATTGTATATCACTTTTCTTGCATTTAGCAAGAATGCATTACTCTCCATATTATTGCAAAGCATTCTATAATTCAAGCCTATTCATATTATATGTTTTCTTTAAAAAGACGTAGGTAAAAACCCCTTCCTTTTCCACATTAATATCCTCAGTAACGTGCTGAAGAGCAAAAATAAATTTTATTATAACTTTCTAAATTTTGTTCACTGTCACCTTTTATACCCTTTAGTCACAGTTATGTTAGACACCTTTTCTAGAACACTAGATTTTATGTGACAACAGGAATTAACTAAATGAACTATACATACAAACATATATACATGCAAAATGTAAGAATATAACTTCTGTCCAGTTGGATTAGACTCCTCATTCATCTAGTGCAGGGGTAGGCAACCTTGGCTCTTTTATGACTCGTGGACTTTTTTTATGACACGAGTCATAAAAGAGCCAAGGTTGCCTACCCCTGATCTAGTGTGTTCTCACAGTGGCCAAACAACTGCTCAAGGAAGTGTACTAGTTTACCAACAGGCTGCTTTACTCTAACCACAAGAACTAATGAGTAGTGATTAGATAATTAATAAAAAAAATACATGCCTGGAATGTATCCAATCTCCTTTCCCCTATTTTATTAATCTATTAAGCTCTACAAATATGTGATACTCTTGACAAACATAGAATTTGTATATTTTTGACTGTGTGCAATAATTACATGCTTCTCTGTCTACTTTGTAAGGTTAAAGCAGCGGAGTTTTATGTAAGACATGGATAGATGCAAACATGTTGGGCGGCTAAGACTTGCCCAGGATCATTCCATTCTGAACCCCCAGAAGTGGCACTGCATGGACTGTAACACCAAGGAATCCATTTGGGCTTGCCTAAAATGTTCCCATGTGGCATGTGGAAGATATATTGAGGACCATGCACTTAAACACTTTGAAGAGACCAGACATCCTTTGGCTATGGAAGTAAACGATCTGTATGTATTTTGTTATCTTTGTGAAGACTATGTATTGAATGATAATCCTGAGGGTGACCTGAAATTACTGAGGAGTTCTTTGTCTGCAGTTAAAAGTCAGAAGCATGATCCTTCTGCTAGAAGTGGTAGGACATTGCGGTCAATGGCTTTGGGGGAGGATGTTTGCAACCATCAACGAGCCCCTCAAGGTCAACCTCAGATGCTTACAGCTCTCTGGTATAGACGGCAATCGTTGCTTGCAAAAGCATTGCGAACATGGTTTGATAAGAGTTCTAGAGGCCAACGGAAACTAGAACAAAAAAAGCAAATGGAAGAACTGGAGAGGAAAAAGGAAGTGGCCAGGCAGCGACGTCAAGAGATGAAACGGAGATTGTTAGAGGAGCTGGCAAACACTCCTCCAAGAAAAAGTGCAAGGCTTTTATCGCACATTCACAGAGAGAATCTGATTCCTCGGAAGTTCAGAGATATGGAAGCAAATTCCCCTACCTCAAGACGAGTGCAGAGTAGCAAATTCAAACAATTCTATTCCATCCGGCGTAAACCTCTTATGACTCCTGGTGTGACTGGACTAAAGAATTTAGGAAATACGTGCTACATGAACTCTATCCTCCAAGTATTAAGTCACCTCCAGAAATTTAGAGAATGTTTCCTGACGCTGGATCTTTGTGAAACTGAAGAACTCTTAGCTAAGACTGTAATTGGAAAATCTAGAATATCTGGAAAGCTAGTCACTGGATCTACTCCAACTGAGTCAGGCAGAAATGATCAGCTGGGTTCATTTGGCAGGCAAAGCCTCTCTGTTGGTTTAAATGGTGGGTCCTCAATAAGCAAAAGTTTAGAACTAATACAGCCCAAGGAACCAAGTTCAAAGCACATCTCTCTTTGTCATGAACTGCACACACTCTTCAGAGTTATGTGGTCTGGAAAGTGGGCTTCAGTGTCTCCTTTTGCCATGCTACACTCTGTATGGAGTTTGATTCCAGCATTTCGAGGTTACGATCAGCAAGATGCTCAGGAATTTCTTTGTGAATTGTTGGACAAAGTGCAGCAAGAGTTGGAATCGGAAGGAACAAAACGCAGGATCCTCATCCCTTTTCCACAAAGGAAGCTCACCAAGCAGGTCCTGAAAGTGGTGAACACCATTTTTCACGGGCAGCTCCTCAGTCAGGTGAGCATGTTATCCAATCCTTTGCCCAGGCCAGAAATACTCATTTTCATACATAGAAAAAGAATTGACATGTTTTTTCTAATGCAGTAGAGTTGTTGCATGGTTCTTTTTTTCTAGTTGCAGCCAAAGGTGAGCTTTTAAAATTTAGCAGGCAATTTTGTGTGTGTTGTATGTACTGACTTGATTCTTCCTCTTCAGATTCTTGTTTCTATTAAGGCAGTGTTTCTCAACCTTGACAATTTTAAGGCATGTGGACTTCAACTCCCAGAATTCCACAGCCAGCATTGCTGGCTGTGGAATTCTGGGAGTTGAAGTCCACATGCCTTAAAATTGTCAAGGTTGAGAAACACTGTATTAAGGTATTTTATGACTATATGGGTGTGATTGTTGCTTCTTCTTTCCTTGAATATACACCCTTGTATATTCTCATATGTCTTTTATAAACTTTATCATTTCTTCAAAAGCATATTTGATAGAGTGAAGCTGGTTTTACATTTTAAGCCATAAAGAATTTTTCGCAAAAACAGTTTATCTTTTCTTAAAATAGCATTTGATACTTTTTTCACTTATATGTTTTATAAATATGAACTTGTTCTTATGTAGCAGTGATCCTTGGCATTATAACTAAGTGAGCTTCAGTCTTAGAAACTCTGCTACCTTTCACAATCTCTGATTTCTTAATGTTTTTATTCATTCTATCTATAGAGTCCCACTTTTCCTAATGCTGGAACTGTGGGAGAGGATCATAATGAGGGCTCATTCAGAGCTGAAGCTCATATACCATTAGATCATTATTTTTTTACAAAGAGGAGTGTGGCAACAGGTGTTCTGATTTGATAAACCTAGCAAATTGAATAACACATTTTCTTTCTTTAACCTGTTTTATATCACTGCCTGTTGTGATATATATAGAACACCCTCCCCCAAATACTGTATACCCAATCACATATGTACTACACCTATATATGTATAGTATGTGGTATAACAAACACACACACATATATTCTCTCTCTCTCTCTCTCTCTCTCTCTCTCTCTCTCTCTCTCTCTCTCTCTCTCTCTCTCTGTGTGTGTGTATGTGTATGTGTATGTGGGTGAATCCTATCTCAATCCTGCTATTGATATTTCAGCAGTGCAATATTTGGGTGATTCCAGGGATCTGGAATTAAGCAGCTTATTCCTGCTTAATTGTTAAATAGTTTGATTTTTTTTAAAGCAACATTTTAAAATTAACATTTATGCTAATAGAATAATCTTTGTGTTAGACACAGATTCCAATAGAGCAAAACTGATTCTTATAGTAGAGAGCTGTATGAAGGTAGTAAAATAACACAATGTTTTTTATGTGAGAATTTTAAAACAAAATATCCTACGGATGGTTACAGATTTGGGCCATTTCAGACTGGAAAATAAGCCCACAGAAATCACAATTTTTGTCTCTGTTGGGATGTTCTGATATTCTTTTTTTCCTTGACAGGTCACTTGTATAACATGTAATTATAAATCCAATACCGTGGAACCCTTCTGGGATCTTTCCCTGGAATTTCCAGAACGTTACCATTCTATCAATAAAGGGATTGTGCCTCTTAATCAGACTGAGTGCATGTTGACTGAAATGTTGGCCAAATTCACAGAAACAGAAGCTTTGGAAGGGAGAATTTATGCATGTGACCAGTGTAACAGTAAGAAAAATCTGTTTTGTTATGTGTTCTCATTGAATCTGTTCAGAAATGTCCTTGTATGTTTTTATAATTGTAAAGCTCAGTTTTTTCCAAGAAGGTGCTTCCAGATATATGGCATGTGAAGTCATGGAATTCCCAGTCAATGCAGTCATAAGTCCTGCTGGTTGGGAATTCTGAAAATTTAAGTCCCACCTAGCTAGATAATATCAGATGAGCAAAACTGCTATAGTTTCTCTTTCATTATTTTTAAATTGCTACGAAAGAGTTTGGAAAGTTATTAATAATGTTGTTTACATAATATCAGCAATTAAAGATGATCATAGATTGTAAAAGAATTTTACTTCAAAATAGAATTGTCAACAGACTGTAGTGTCTTGTATGTCTCTTTCCCAAAAGAAAGCAAAGAAAAATTTATTATTTCTTCTGGCAGATTGCTGAGATGTCTACTAGATATGCTGGAGATACAAGAAAACAACATTTCTTGAAAGAGACTGCTTTCTCTCAAAGGATAGAAATAGTTGTTTTAGAACACTACTGTACAGATTATAGCCCCATAAAAAGGAATGGGCTGGATGAGGTCCCAAAATTGCATTGAGTCCTTAAGTTTTTGTTTTGGGATCTTCAGAATTTTTTTTCAATCACTGTTTTCAGAAACCAGAGACACTGTTTATTGCCATTTTTAGGACGCAACCAAAGCTGCACAAATAAAGCAAATTAAAAATCCTAAATTCCCATCCTATAAAGAAAGGAAAGAAAATCAGAAAAATGTCAGACTGTCCAAAAAGAATATATGTATTATCTTGCCAATTTTGCTTCACTGATCAACAGTTATAATCCTGCCACCTTAAAAAATGTACAATGACCCTGGTCATTAAAAAAAACATTGCCCAACCTTGCCCTACAACCGTGGTAATTGTCCCTAGAAACTTTCCAGATGTTGCTATCAAATTTTACTTTTTAGGAGCTAGAAGGAGAAGTAATTTAATATTTCTGTGGAATAATTATGTTGCATTATAATTTAATCTTTTCCACCTTATTTCTTTGTTTGGAACTAAAAAAATAAAAGGAATGGCATATTGGGAGAAAGCAATACAGGTAGTCCTTGGGTTATGACAACGACAATTGGAAGAACTAAGTGATGCAAGTGATGCATCAATAAGTGATGCAATTGTAAAGTATGATGTCACATGACTACATCACTTAATGGTGGCACTCCTGGCAATCCTGAAGATAAAGAGTGTGTCATCCCAGGAGCATGGTTCATTAAGTAGGAAAAAGTAGAGGTCCCAGGCAAGGATCATGGGGGGGAGGGGGTGCCACAGGCAGGCCCTATGGAGTGTGAGTGGGCTGGTGGTGGTCACAGATACGTTAGCAGAAGCTGTGGGCGGGCACTGAGGGGTGGGTGCTGTGGGGGATGCTGCCAGGGATTCACACCACGAAGCAAGAGGTGCTGCCAGTAGGAACGTGCTACGGAGAACAGATAGGGGTGCTTCTGAGTATGAGATCCCTGGGGACTTCATAGTGAGGCTCCTCAAGAGGAAAAAGCAGCAGAAGTGACTTGGGATCTTCTCTGCCAGCTTTCTCATTGACTCTGCTGATGGGAAGCTGGCAAAGAAGGTTGCAAATGGCAATCACGTGACCATGGGACATGGCAATGGTCAGAACTTTGAGGATCAATCATAAGTACTGTTGGTTCAGTACCACTTTAACTCTGAAGTAAACAAGCGGTAATAGGTTGAGCACTATGTAATGTTTGAAGGAAAATGATAGTTCTAGTCATGCCATGAATTCTTGAAATGCTTACAGTATATATAGATGACTTGGAGCAGGTAGATTTCAAATTTGAACCAAGAGACTGTCTTGAATTTTCCGCATTTGGAACTTTAAACATGACAGTGCAATAGTGCAATGCATATATTCAAGCCTCATGTTGCACTTCACAGGCTCAGAAAAATAGTGCATATATATATATTGGTTCCCACAGAAGCCAACAAAAGGGAACTATGTTAGGGAAACACTGAACTTGGCACAGGCAGTCCTTTAAATAGCAAAGAGAGTGAGAGGCAAACTGTTTATTGCTTGTCTTTTATTTTTTATTCTCACCGTGTTTAACGTTTAATTGGTATTTTTTAAAAAAACTTTCTGGGTAAAAGATTTTTCTTTTTATAACTTTTCTGCTAATTCCTTCATGAAATGAGAACAAATTGGTTTTGAAATCCATAACTAGTCCATGTATAGCTAAAGAAATTGGGCTACAATCCCATACTTCAAGAGAGAGCAACCTGCAGCTCAAGGCCTTATAGCACTTGAGCACCTTCTTTGTGGTCCTTGGAATTTCCTTGATGAAAATATATAGTAATATTCCCACCGTTTTGAAGTAGAAAACTGAAAATCATAGCCCTAAAAATAGACATGTTAAAGTTTAAAAAAGCAACTCCCCAAACCACCAAAACTAAAAAAAAAAAAAAAAAGTTGAAAGAGGTACAGTTGCAAGAAAAAGTATGTGAACCCCTTGGGATAACGCGGAGTTTTGCATGAATTGGTCATAAAATGTGCTCTGAACGTCATCTAAGTCACAACAATAGAAAAACACAGTCTGCTGAAAATAATAATACACAAACATTACATGTTGCCATGGTTTAATTGAACATAACATGTAAACATTCATAGTGCAGGGAGGAAAAAGTATGTGAACCGTTGGACTTAATAACTGGTTGACCCTCCTTTGGCAGCAATAACCTCAACCAAACGTTTCCTGTAGTTGCAGATCAGACCTGCACAACGATCTTGAGTAATTTTGGACCACTCCTCTTCACAAAACTGTTTCAGTGTAGCAATATTCTTGGGATGTCTGGTGTGAATCGCTCTCTTAAGGTCATGCCACAACATTTCAATCGGGTTGAGGTCAGGACTCTGACTGGGCCACTCCAGAAGGCGTATTCTGTGCTGTTGAAGCCACTGTTTTGTTGAATTACTTGTATGCTTTGGGTCATTGTCCTGTTGCATCACCCATCCTCTGCGGAGCTTCAGTTGGTGGACAGATGGTCGTACGTTTTCCTGCAAAATGTCTTGATAAACTCTGGAATTCATTTTGCCATCAATGACAACAATCCGTCCAGGCCCTGAGGCAGCAAAGCAGCCCCAAACCATGATGATCCCTCCACCATGTTTTACAGTGGGGATGAGGTTTTGATGTTGGTGTGCTGTGCCTTTTTTTCTCCACACATAGTGTTGTGTGTTTTTCCCAAACAACTCAATTTTGGTTTCATCTGTCCATAGTATATTTTGCCAGTAGTGCTGTGGAACATCCAGGTGCTCTTTTGCAAACTTCAAACGTGCTGCAATATTTTTTTTGGACAGCAATGGCTTCCTCTGTGGTGTCCTCCCATGTACTCCATTCTTGTTTAATGTTTTCCTTATTGTAGATGTGTCAACAAAAATGTTAGCATGTGCCAGAGATTTCTGTAGGTCTTTAGCTGACACTCTAGGATTCTTCTTTACCTCAAGAAGCATTCTGCACTGTGCTCTTGCAGTCATTTTTACAGAACGACCACGCCTAGGGAGAGTAGCAACAGTGCTAAATTTTCTCCATTTGTAGACAGTCTGTCTTACCGTGGACACATGAACATCAAGGCTTTTGGAGATACTTTTGTAACCCTTTCCAGCTTCATGCAAGTCAACAATTCTTGATCGTAGGTCTTCTGAGAGCTCTTTTCTGCGAGGCATGGTTCCCATCAGACAGTGCTTCTTGAAACCAGTAAACCCATAACAGGTGTGTGTTTTTAAAGGGCAGGACAGCTGTCAGCAACACATTCAATATCATCACACTGATTGGAGTCAAGGTTGGCTCCCTCCTGGCTCCAATTAGCTCTTGGAGACATCATTAGGCTAGGGGCTCACATACTTTTTCCTCCCTGCTCTGTGAATGTTTACATGTTATGTTCAATTAAACCATGGCAACATGTAATGTTTGTGTATTATTATTTTCAGCAGACTGTGTTTTTCTATTGTTG